GAGAGGTACTGTTTCTATGGTTGAAGTCTTCATCCCAGTAACAGTAGTAGTTACCACTCACTGTGTTTCCAGTAGCTCATCCCTGCAGAGCCACGCTGCATGAATAAGCGCACAGACTGGTACCTCTGCTGAGCAGGTACCTCAATCATGCAAAGAGAGCAGTCCATACTTAGTTTGCTGGCTGTGAGGGAGCAAGCACCCGCTGCTGTTCCACTTTCAGTCTGGGAAGTCTCGGGAGCGCGGTTCTGCTGGAATAAAACCTTTGAGGCAGTTACTCAGAATTGTTATTCTTCCCAAATGGCGGCTGTCAATGCCTATGCCCCAGCTTAGCTCTGTGAGAAGTGCTCCTTCGACTGTTACTGTACACCATGCAGGCATAACGCCAGGATGTCAAATCAAAGATGACACAGTATGAACACCTGTGTTTCCTGTATCAGTTTCACTCCTTTCATTACCAGCCCATTTCTTAAAGAATCAAGCAGAGTCGGTTAAAATACTGGGGTTTTCTTTCTTTAAGCTTAAAACCATGAGTAGTCAATAGCTCATGCTAGATTAAAAAGTGTCAACAAACAGCCTAATCCAAAAAGCCTTTATGGACTTTCTACCCAAACATTCAGCCTTAGAAAGCTATGGACATTGTCAGTAACTTCCCCTTTTCTTATACAATATGCCCACAAAGATTTTAACTCATACCTTAGTAAAATCTCAAGGCCTTTACTGTTTTTTTTTCTCAAAACAACTTGACGTGGCACCTAGATAATAAATGCGTCACAAGATGGTTTCAGTGAAACACCCGACACCAGAATCCTGACCTGCAAAAAAGATGTTACGGTCAAGAATAGCTGAACCAGAGGGGTAGCGGGTACCATATCCCAGAAGGTCCTGTAGCACAAGCCGGTACTGCAGCCTTCCTCTGGTAACTCCAGAGACATCTGATTCACTGGGGAGAGAGGAGTTTGGGGATGGGTGGTGGAGGCAGGAGGACTCCAGCTCACACACCCCACTAGAAGCAAGCCAAAGGCCTACTTACCATGAGAGAAACTGAATCGTAATATTGAGTAGCAGAATGTCATGAATGATTTGAATACTAATGACCATTGCCAGCTGAGGCACCTAAACCTTCACTGTGGTACTAAATACTCTTCAAAACAGACTGAACAACAGTTCTACTGCTGAGCTGTTAACTATTACATAGGCTGAAGTCTGTTTTCTGGGATGATACTGCAGTGCCAGATGTTTTCATATGTGATTTAGCCGAAATCCTTGCCTTTGACAGGTATGAAAATGACTGCTGCATGTTTACTCCTGCCAGATGTCTTTGGAGATGATTCCAGTTTGTTTGCTGCAGTGAACGAGGAGGTAGGAGACAGAGCACCAGCAGTCTTGATCTCTCTTCTATGTATCAGCTGCCTGGGCACATCAGCTGGCCTTTTAGTGGCTCAGCTTAGCTCCTGGAAAAGGAGGACATTAGCCTGCCTTTGGGGCAGAAGGCAAATATTCATAGAAATACTAGCTGAATTCAAAGCAGTGTTATTAGGCTTACTCAATTCTCTGACTTGTTCACCAAAGCGATGCTGTGGTATCATTTGAAATATCCTTTTTTAAATTTAGGTAAAGGCAGAGACGCCAGTGTTGGAAGTAAGAAATCCGTTCAATGTGAATTCATGTGAGTTTGCGCTGTACATAGAAAGAGAAGAGCTAGCCCAGCTCGATGACTGCACCATGGCCCTGGCAGCGCTGGTGGCTGCGTTTCATGTGTTCAATATCCCATGCCCACAGAGAATCCACAGGACACTGAACTTCTTGGAGTCCCTGGTCTTTGAGGTGAGGAGCCCAGCATCCCTGCCCATCCAGGCAAAAAGAGGGCTGGAAGCACCCGAGTATCCCAGTATCTGATGTTGTACACAACAGTCCTCTTGGGAGCATTTGACATTTTGTCAAAACAAATCCCTTTGTTGTGAAGATAAATCAGTGCCATTGTTTCTAGTGAAAGTGTATGTATATTTATAAGAGTTATGTATAATAATGCCTTCTTCTAAATTGCGCTGGCTACTTTTCAAAAAGTTTAAAAACTATGCATTTTCATTATTTTAAATGGAAATTCTAGAGCAGTCTAGAGGCATTAGAGACAATAAAATTTTCTAGATTACTGCATCTAACGTGTATTGTTTTTCCATATGGAGCATTTGACAAATTCAAATTATATTTTGACGGTCAGAATTAAAAAAAAACCAAACACATCGTGAACTAATGCGAGCACTTTGCGGATTCAGATGTTAATGTTCTGAAGTGGCACAAATTAAAGATTTACTCGTTACCATCATTTCACTATATTATGATCACTGAAAGCCTACCATAATATTTTTGTGTTTTAAAATGGTGTGCCTGATTTTTTAACTGGCAGGATGATGAGTTTTCACTATTCTCTCCACACACGCAACATTTTTTTTTTTTAATCTTGAATTTGCTAAATAGGGATTCTGAGATGAGCTCTCAAAGTAGCAAGAATGACTTATCTGGGATGCTGCCATGTGCGTTTGTAACCGCAGCTTTGGTGCCGGGGCGAGAACGCCTCATTATCTTTCTGAATCTGTTTCCCAGAACAAATTGGCCTTGTCCACATGGTGTTTGTCCTGTCTGCCCACACAGAGCGGAGGCCCTTTCCTCTCTTATTCCACTACCTCTTCTCCGTGACACGCTCCTCTTAACTCCTGCATGCCTGGAAATCCCAGGGTTACCACCCAACCGTGCACAGCTTCAGACAAACGCCCAGTGATGGCCAGTAGCAGCAGCCAGCAAACGCGACCCACCACATTAATTAGAAATGAAATGGCGTTTTATTAAAACATTGCTTTCTACTGAAAAGATCAATCTCCCACCAGTTATAAAAACATACGTGTAGGCAAAGCAGCGTTTGTGGCTGCCGCGATTCCTTCCACAGCTTGGAAGACCACAGATGTTCTGTTAAAGGCCGGATGTGCAGGGGTGACCAATGCACAGATCACAGCAGGAGACCCTGCAGTGTGAGAGGAGATGACTGTAGACCCTCTTGCTAAAGCCTTTGGATTTTTCATATGGCTCCCACAGCAATCAGGGCACAACATTTGTCCATGTGACAGCTGGGCTCCCTCCAACACAACATACAAAACAATACCAACTGCCATTTTAAAGATTTAGCGGGTCTCCCGAGCATTTCCAGTTTCCGAGTGAACTTGCTGGGTGCAGTTTTTGTAACAGAGATGGCTACACCCTGCCACCTCATCACAGGGGACACAAAAGTGAGGATTATGCATGTCCTCACTGTTGTGAGTGATAGCTGTATGAATAAAAAGTTGGGCCCTGTATCACTTAAGTGAGGTTTATCCTACATCTTGTAAAGAGTATTAATTCAAACCCATTTCTTAAACCACAGGACTTTGTAAGCAGGTATATAAAAATTCATGGAGCTGCTAAAATCCCCAAGTAATCCCTGTCGAGCAGGAAATCTCTTCATTGGTTCTCACTGCAGGCTACAGAGCTGGCACACGGGAGAGACACAGAGGGTGAGAAGAAATAAACTACATGAAAGGACAGAAGGAAAGAAAATATTTGACGTTTTAGTGATCTGCATGGACAACTCCAGCTGCTGCCAGTGACAAAATCCAGGTCCATAAATAGGATTCTGATGGTGACAGCAAGTGGCCCGTGAGCCTTAGGAGTAAGTGTCTTGTAAGAGAGCAGACAGCAGCAGCTAAGTTGCTCTCTTAAACTCATGGCTACGTTGAGCTATGGTGAGGAATTACTCCATGCCAGCCAGGGGAACAGCTGGGTTCATCTGAGAATCCTGGGCACACACAAATGTAACAGACAGCTCCAGTTCAGGTTTTATTTGTATTGTAGTACAGTGAGTGCAATTTGAATGTACAAATATGGAACAAAATGTAAAAATATTATTTATGCAATGCTATGGAAGGAAATTAACAGAGCAACGCAACTTACTTCATACTGACCCTGTTTCACCTCTTATTACGGCAGGCACCTGTTACCTACATGATCTGGAAGGGGCACAGTGAGTTCTTGAAATCTTAAGAACTCCAGCCAAAGAACAGCCTAGGAAAATCTGTGGGAAGATGTAAAATTCTCCCAGCTCCGTGCAACGGAAATGCTCTGTTCTCAGCTCTGAAGGCTGAGCAGCTGCCCACCACAGCACTAAGAAGGCGGCTGCCAAAAATCTTGATCCAACTCTTTGCTTCTTGTAAAAGTAACATTCTGCAAGAGTCCTCAGCATGCAGGTAGCTAGGTTTTCTCCCACTAAAGTGCATCTGGTTTCTATCTTACATGTGTATACCAAGGGTAACGACTTTCCCGGACAAATCCCTGTAACAATCCTCCAAGAAAAACAGTTGCCTCACCCAAGTAGCTACTAGTGGCACCTCCAGCCTTGCTCACGACCTGGTGAAACTCATGCATTTTATACCTAGGATGTGCCATCTGCAATTAAGCATCCTTTTCCTCTGTGCTTTGTCTTTCCCCTTATGCCTTATTAATGGATAAATCAGACTTTCCAAATAGGAAGTGGTGCATGAAGTAATTCTCCCAGCAGTGGGAAAACAAACTTAAGTTAAATATGAAGCCAGAGTAGCAGTCCTAGCTTTAAACACACTTTTTATCCACCACTGTGGTAGCTACCCTGGAGACTGGCATGTGCAGACATCAATGAATATATTTTCTTCTTGCTAATAACCTTACCTCAAAATACATGTATTTTCCTTCATTTGCAGAAAGACTGTAGCAGGCTCCCCTGGCTGGGACTCTATTGTGCAGCATCAATGAAAAATCTTCTATGAAGTCAAACCTTATTTTTCAGTTGCAGCCTTCTCTATACTGATCTTTTGGTAAAATACATTAAAGATGCTGGTGGAAAAACTCACATAACATTTTTTTAATCGTGCAAAAGTAAAAACATTCAGTTATCAAAAAAGCATTATAATTTCAACCCCGACAAGGTTTGTTTTGTTTCATTACAAGCAAACAGACAGTTTTATAATCTGTAAAGTTATATGCTGTAGCATAAAGTGTCATGTATGTAACATTAAGTGTTCTGTTTTTCAACTATGGCACAAATACATATTAGCCATAACAGTCTCATCTGGCTACCTGTAGCCTAATTTTTGGCTAATCAGTTTTTATTTCGGTAGTATGAAGTAAAAGCTTTTGAAAAGTAAAATGAGTACATGAAGTAGAATTCAAGAATTCTTAGAAAATATTAACGTTCCCTTATATAATACAGCATAAATAATTGATGAAGGTTTTCTTGATGTCCAGAGAAAGTCAGGGATCCTAACCATCCATGGAGAATCAGCGCCGTTAGTTCGGTAAATTAGACTAGCTGACTTGATTGTTACACAGTACCTTCTCAAAAGCTTGAACACTTCCCAGAAGGATTCAGATGTGTACTGGCTCTAGGAGAATATAAATAGTCCACCAGTGCTGAACATAAGTTTCTTCCTTGCTGAGAGTCCTTACTCAACAGTTCTAGTCTTTGTGCTTTGAATAAAACATGAGCTCCAGTGGAGAAGGCTGGCTCCTGCACATTTTCCATTATCTTCAAAGTTCGTTGTGTGAGTTTTTCTCTGCAGCTTTGAACATCAGAATGGAATTAAAGATTTTTAGGGCTGGTCCCAGTTTAATGCTCATTATTTTGACTATGTCTGATTGGGTCATTAGCAGAAATGCTTCTCCATCAATTTGCTTTAAAAGAAAAAACACACAAAGCTATTAATAGGTCTGACAATGCAGCAGTATAGATGTTTCAGAAGCATGAAAAGAAAATTCCCAGCAATTTCAGGCAGTGTAAAGGAATAGCTGAATACAAACACTTTTGAATGCTTTCAGGCTAGCTTTGATTTCTACCTTTTAAACAGACCAGCTAGCTCAAAAGAACAGGCTGATGATGAACTTTCTGCCTGAAAACAACTGCCTGGCTAATTTTTAGCTAACCAGTTCTTATTTTTCTACTGACATTATATGGCAAAAGCTACTGAAAAGTAAAATGGGTAAATTAAATACAACTTATACCTTCTACCTTTATATTCCTTTTAAACCTTCCAGATTTCACTCACAAATGAATTGGAAACCCCTTCAGGCCATCCCTTTCTGTTCATTCAACAGCAAATTAAAATGAACTTTGGTCCCAGACGTAAGCAGGGGCCAGGTTATCTAAAACCACCTCTTTGACATGAACACAACTTTTGAAAACCGTGAATATTTTTTCTGCTAGCTTGGAGTGTTGCTGTTTTAATAAATGTTACAGGTGGATACTCTGTCAGCCAGAGTCCTAAATCCAGACATGGAGAGCCACAAGGTAAGGCCCTCACTTCCAAGGATTTCAATGGAGCTGCCACTTCTTGTCTAAACTTCCAGTCACATAGGTATCTCCAGTAACTTTTCAGTGTAACAAATGCAAGACAGCTAGGCCTAAAAGCCAACTGTGGTTAAATGAGGAGCGCTGCTTAGGCTCAGAAATACTAATTTGAGATAAAATAATATAATTAAGCTTCTGTAAGACTAGAAGACGATCAGACCTGCTGCAAAGGAAGCCTGCAAGGTATATCCCAGCACTGTAAGTCAAGAAACACTGCAGCAAGAACAGCATCACACAGTTACCACAGTTACTTTCTACTCATTTTGTGCATAAAGCCAGACTGGGTGGGCTCAGAACCAGAAGTGTGGGAAGATGGGGACGTCCAGGTTTTTGCAGCATCTTAATATAAGCAGGATGAGGGTTCATTTCCACAGCAGGAGTTTGAACCAGCACCTTCCACCTACTGAAAATCCTACTGATGCCAGCTAGTCCATGCTGGTTGGCCTCACTGGGAGTGGTTTAATTTACCACTCACAGCCAAAGCATAAGAATCCTAAAGAGGGAAACTATTTTCTTACTCCTCTGAGAATGAAAGTGTTTAGGATTCATCCATCTCTCTGGCAATTACCACCTGCTGACTTGATCAGCTTTTACTGATCTTAAATTCATTGGTGAGACACCCTAAGTGACACAGGGGATGAGCCAGGCCTGCACACTTCCTGCAAACGTAAAATTCCTAAATGTAAGCCAGTGCAAAATGCCCACAGATACAGCCTGTCAGTCCTTTGATATGCAACTCCAATAGTCATTACAATCTACAGCACAGCCTGAAAACTTTAGTCGCTGGAGATTAGCAGGGCCATCTGTATGCATTTTCCTCAGGAGGTGCCTCCTCAAGTCTAAGTACCACAATTATTCTTTGCTTGAAAGGCTGGCTGACTTGGCATATTACAGTATGGGACTCTGCCCATTCAGGTGGTCTGGCTGGGATAAGCAGCACCTGAACTGTTCACTCTACCAACCTGTGATCAAACAGCCTTCTTGAAACTAAGCATTAACAGGAGTAAGAAACCTCTGAGCAAGAAAGAATAAGCCAACCTAGTTTATAAAGGCCTGTTGTACCTAAGAACCCTATCACTTCCTAATGCCAACTTTGGCACAACAGTCTTCTCGGATACCAGAAATGCATGCCAGGCGTGCTCACAAAGTGAGTACATGCTCCTTTGAACCGCATCAGAAGCCTTCATATCTTCTCACTTCCTGCTCACTCAAATCACATTTGTAAACTGGCTATATCAAGCAGAAGAGCATCAAGAGCTAAGCGTAAACAGACAAGATGCAGAGTTTTATTAGATGGTTATCTTGAGCAAATGTTCTGCTTTATTTTTCTTATTAATATCCTGCAGAACTAAAATACTTACAAATTTCCTCAAACCAGATTAAAAGAGAACAGTAGTAAATCTGAAGTTCCTCCTCTTCTACCATTAGTTCCAAGTAACTTCAGCTGCAGTAATAAAACTAGAGAAGCACAAGAGACCTGGCTGACAGTTTTATCTTCTTTACTTCCTTCTCATACCACAATCCAAAAACCAACTTATCTTCCGTGCGTTTGCATCTGACTTCAAACGTACACTTCATCCTACAACTTTATGTATTTTTAATGATAACATAAATTAATCTTTCCACCACGCTCCGCACTCTGTTCCTTTTTGAAATAAATTTCACCCACCTCATCTTTAAACACCTTGCCATGTTCTTCGCATCCTGGTAAACTCCGTATAAATTCAGAGACCTGCCACCAAATTATACAACAAAGGTTAAGTAAAACAGGTGTTTTCTCAAAATAATCTTAAAGGTTGACAATCATTAAAGGAAAATTTTTTAGCGATTGCTTTTTACAGCCTCATATTAGGTGTTCCACCTTCTTGTATAAGTGTGTGGAGTCATGCAGCTGAGTGTTTAAGGACAGGATGCACAAAATCTGCGAAGTGAAAGAGCACACAACATTTTTGTCCACAAGACATCTGAGAGTGGGATATGGCTACTCCCTCAAAATTACTCAGGTTATTCTATCCATGCAGATCTGGAAGCATGAATCTTCTCTTGGTGAATCACTTCTCACAAACCAAAATGGTTGCTGCTTTCCTCTTCTTTATTCTTTACAGCACAGAGATTAACAAATCCTTTTTCAAAGTTGATGCTTCTTTTTTATTCTGATTAGAGGAGACCTGACTGTCCCAGCTGCAGAAAACTCCCATCAGCATAGGTACTTACTTCTGAAAGTAAAGCAGGGACTAGATCCTGCCTGTCCAAGCAATATTACATACTTGAAGAGTGATAGGGCTCCAGTCTTGAAATCAGGTGTCATGGCCTGACGACACCCATACTGTTCCTCCCTGTGCTATATTCTCGCCCTCCAAAACCATGTGCCACATTTAAAACATGCACCAGGAATAGTTCCTTGGGCCATGCTGACCCCTAAACCATTCGTCGAAAATGTTTGTGTGGGTGTTAGATGTTAGTAGCATAGACCTTGAGCACCTGATCTGCTGGGCCAATTAGCACTTTTTCCCTTTTTAACCTCAGTGAATATATATGTATACATATCTATTTATCAATATCTATGCCTATCTACACATATATGGATTAATACTTACTGCTTCTAAGGATGGATGGATGCTGAAGTAGCATTTTGGGGATCTGTAACATTAGGTATGGCTCACTCTAATCCTCTGACTACTAATGCATTATTCTTAATTCATGGGGTTCATTTGAAGTTCTGAATCGAACAAGACTTCAATGGTAGTGGCAGAGAGACAGAAGATACAGCAGAAACCTACCTCATCTGTACTCCACTTAGAAACTTTACTGGCTGGTATCCCAGCTACACTTGGAAGGAGCTTGCTCTGCTGTTCCCAGCGCAAGGGTAGGCCAGGGATTTGCAACTTGGAAGACAAAATAACTGGTTGAGAAAGAAGCCTCGGTGTGTTGGGTTCTTCAACATCTTTAACAAGAAGAAAGAACAAAAAAGCATTAAATCCCTCAGTCAGTGACGAGATCAGACACAGTACAACCATGTTCATTTCTATTCATAGACATGGGCCTCCCTACACAAGCTGTAGCTTTGCTTACACCAGAATCACAGTACCACCACGACTGTTCCTCCACTAGTGTGACTGGGATTATATTGGCTCTCTATACATGTAACTACTCTAACATGGAAAAAGCCTCTTCCAACACAACACAATTCTATGCCAACACAACTGTTGGTATACCACACCACAGGTCAAATAATTTTAAATATTTTGATACAATAAATTACGCCCACATTTAATAGTTGTACGGTAGTACCAGAATTAACTTAATTCTAGGGCTGAGCTAGTATAACTTCATTAAAGGCAGCACTGCACTGCCACAAAATTCCAAGTGAATCAGTGACACAGTTCCAGCCCACACAACATTTATGCCTCATCCACAACAAAATGTTTTTCAGTTCTTCTGAGGAAAAAGCACAAATGTCTGCGAATTCCCTGCTCCCACTTTAACTGTTTTATTTGGAAAATAACATTTAACTCCTCTGTGCTGCTATGGGTTTGGTTTTTTTAATCTCACTTACACATAATGGAAGGAATGAGGTCCCATGCCACTGGCCTCAAAGGTAATGCATGAGTGGGAAGGTGGCTGCAGCCACATGCTGCTGTGGCTGGGGGCGTGTGGGACAGAGGAGGAGGTGC